CCTGACCTGTGGTGGAGCACCGGCAAGGTGAAGAGATCCACCCGTGCCCTTCGAGCTGGATCGGCTCGGCCCTGCCCTCTTTTCCGCTAGTGGAAAAATAGGGAGAGAGCTGAGGAGAGAGATCTCTGCTGCCACAGGGTTACCAGCACGGCGTGGAAAAAGTCATCTACAGTTTTTAAAAAAATCCGGCGCTGCCTTTTCGTAGGAGTTACGGTGAAAATCTGGGTTGAAAGGCGCCATAAGGAGCAATATCGTTACAACACGATGCAGCTTTCGGCTCTACCACAGCCATCGGTGAGCAGCACTTGCCTAGCGGCTCCTGCAATACTATGGAAGACTGGCTAAACGGAGGAGTGCAGGCAAACTGCCTTATCCCCAAGGAGGGAATGGAGAAACTGAGGCAGGACAAGATCACATAATTCCATTCCAAACACTAATCTTCACTCCTCCCTCCCGAAGTCATTTACATTTCTGATAGGAATTCCTAGGGGACTGGAGCAATGCCAAGATTTCATTACTGGAATGGAAATATCACTCTCTCCCCAGTGTCTCCTGCTGCAATGAGGCGGCTAGGAGGAGACACTGACATCCATTCGAGAGCTCTTAGGAAGCCTAGGTGCTCCTGGGGAAATCGTGCTATGCCTCTCTCCGGGATCACGACAGCTCTTGGGCTGAGAAGTTCTGCACTGATGCCTGCTAAAAGCTTCATGCACACTTACTGTCACTGCTGCCTCTCCCCCGTGTATCCATATATACCCATCTATCTGGGTGCATGGTGTGTTTCTGCACTTACTCATGGCAATAGCACCTTCCAGAAAGAAGCTACTTTTGCAGATTTTAGTGGTCTCATGAGAAAAAATAATGGCCATTAGAATAATACTGTGTTTCTATGATGATTTTCTTCTAAGAATTTCTTCCAGCCTTACAATTGCAGAGGCTTACAGCACTACACTGCTTCCATGGGCTCAGGAAGCACTCCAGTGTACAAGCAGGAGTGAGGAGGCACAGGCAAATGCTGTGACTTGGCCAAGCCTGACTGGGGAGGCATCAGCCAAGGGAGCGTTGACTCTACATGGTGTGCCTGGAGCATGCTTCTACCTTGACAGGCATGTTGTGCTTCATCCAAATGTCAAATGCAATGCTCCCAAAGGCTTTGAGAAGGGGTTGGAGAAGGAAGCTTTCGTCTACAAAGAGGAGAGTACCCAACAGAAAGCTGTCATAGTATGGCACAGCCCAGACTTTGGGCTGGTGTAAGAGACCAAAGGTTTGCTGGAAGCAGCGGACCAAAGGGAACCTTTCCCATCAGGGGATCTGGCTTTAGATCTTCTGAGAAGGGCTTTGTGCTAACAGTGATAGGCAGGAAGACCCATACGAAAATTGGACTGAAATCCCGCGTGCACTACCAGTTGGAGCATAAACTGAAATCAGAAAACTTAGGGAGGATTATTACCATGCAGAAATCAGAGGAACTGGTTAGTCTGAAATGCTTTTAGGAACTAAAGACAAATAATCTCTCTTGGCCTCTTGTGCCACAGAATTAAGCATCATGGCTTTGTTCTGTAGGCCGCAACATCAGTGACAGTGCTCACTGCTCACACACACACACAGAACACAGCTGATGCCTCCCTGGATTACATCCTTTCCTTACTTCTTCTGTTGCCATAGCATGTTGCCACATCTCACCTGCTTTGCTCAGAAGCATAGGGACGTTCTAGAAAATGCCTGAAGAGCTGCACGATAATCAAGAGGTGAATTCCCAGTGCTGGGAGACTTCAGAAGATGAAGGACAAGGAAAAAAGAAAGGAAGAGAGGGGGGAGGGGAGAGAGAAAAGGCAGGAGAAAGACAAGTATTTGCTGGACTTCCTCATTTTGCTTTACTGTTCAGCCTCTTCTAATTATCAAAACCCAATGGGAAATCTGGTACAGGTTATCCCAGTGAGAAAGCACTCCAAAACACCCATTTCTACATGAGAAACCATAGCCCTAAAACTTCAACAAAACCTGCTGGTGCATGCCAACACTCCATTGTCAAAGTAGTCAGTCTGCAGTTGGATACAAAATCTCTGTAAAAGATGTTTTCCATAGAGCTGCCTGGTTTGCAATCTGATTCAAGAACCTGTCCATTCCATCCTCTGACTTGGGATTTGAAGAGCAGTGTTAACCCCTATGCTGCTAGGCATCTATACTGCATCAGGCAACTGTGGTAATGGCAAGAGAGATGAAGAAGTGGGAGTGAAGGGCTGCTAAAGTACAGAGGTAGTTCTGCTGTACAGATGGTTGTTCAGGTGCTTCCTGAGTGGGAGATCTGTTGAAGCCAGCATATTCAGTCCCAGGCTAGAACAAGAGCTGCTCCCGACTTTTTGGTCACCACCAGAGGCTACAGCAAGTCACAGGAGGAAGCTCCATGTGTGAGAGGACTTTTGCAGCTTAGGGATGGATTTTCAAATAAAAGCCCCAAAGCTGGTTCAGAACACAGTGGTTGAGGAAACAGAAACCCTCAACGCTTTCCAAACTCTGCCAATGACACAGCTTGAGAGCTACTGGATAATAGAGTGGCTTTTGAGGACACTGAAAAGGATTAAACTGCATATAAACTGTCTCAGTTCTCTGCCTAATCCATCATAATAATGGGATTGCCAGAGCTTGTTCATGTCAGTTAATAATGCTGTTTAACATGGCCACTTCTGAGGATCCAAATATAATTCTCCATCTTGGAATACATATGGGACAAAACTGGCCATCCCAAGACCTTGGGTATGGTATTTAAAGACATGGTGGCTGCAGTAGCAGCTCACAAGAAGGCTGAAACTCATCCTGCCTGTGTCTGGACTAAGCTTGCCATAACTGAGTTATGCTGCTCATTTGGGAATTATGTTAGCTACAGCTGAACTCTGTTCTCTTTTAATTTACATTATTCTACCATCTTTTCCTTTCTCATTTCTTGTTTTCCTCTCTACCACCTTCTTCGGTAAGCAACTGTGTTGAAATATTCCAGCCTCTCTGTTTTAGCCTCTCCCAGCTCTTACATATTTCATATGTGCTGGTTTTAACTTATTGTGTGAACAAAGATAAGGACAGGGAACCATATTAAAGACTTGCATTGACTTCGTCTTCAGAATAAAAGGATGTCAGGTATGAGTCTGAGCTTTGAGTTCAGGCCTAATCCTTTCCTAGTTCCCAAACTCTCCCAGCTCTCCCTGGGGTGGCAGGTGGCATGGTGTACATGGCAGTCTAGGGACCACTGTATGGTGGATCTAAATTTGGATTTTTCTATAAGTTTCAATGTTATCCAATTTGGCCCCAGCCCAACCATAATCATTACCCCAAGCCCAGACTTGGTTTTCCACATGTCGGGGATGGTTATTTTTTTTAGAGCTGATAAACTATCACATCATATATGTTATCTATCTTTTGTGAAAAATGCCAAGCTGTCAGAATGAAAATATCACATAAATCACACATGAAGTATTCACATTAAAAAACATCGACTCATAAAAATTTAAACAACCTTTCTGATGGTTCCATCATTTGCAGCCGGTTAGCCAGGTATTGCCAATGTTTCCATTTCTGGAGTTGAAATAAACACAGCACATCAAAATGGAGTCACCAAACCAAACCAAAATGTATTTATCATGGTGCAACAGTCAATGCCATAAGTATGCAGACTTACATATAATCTACACATACTAATATGACTTTCCAGATCTCATATCGCATGTTGATACACACAGAACAGACTTGGGAGGAAGCACTTGTTGCCAGTCCCTCCGGGGACTCAGTTTCTTACCTACTTGTAAGGTAGGGTGACACATCACTTTGTTTTTGACAGTGACCGTATTGCAGTTGTATTGCATTCTCCTGTGAGTCAGAGTGGACAATAATGTCCACCAGCCACTTGACAAAATGGTGTGGAGCTTGCTCAGCATATGACCATCCCTCATGGGACAGAGGTTTGGCAGGTGGGAAGTCCCTGGTGGGTCCTCAGTGTGGCCACAAGTTTCTTGGATCAATCTCTGGCTCTGGGAGGGTCTCTGGCCAGGTCTGGAGGGCATCCCACAGCCCAAAGTGCAGTGTGTGCTCTGTCAGGGCCAGACACCTTCTGGATTTGGAATGGCTGGGACTAATTCTGGAAGGTGCTACACCTGCTCCAGGGGAAGCCTTGTGGGAAGAGCCTGGAGGTCCAAGCAGGAGTGGCCAGTGGGGCTGGGTCCCAGCTGTGCTCTCTGCCTGGGGCTGGGGTGTCACTGCATCTTGCCTGGGAAGGTGGCAGTGGGCTGTGGGCCAAAAGCCCTCCCCAGGGCACACAGAAAACTTAAAGATAACGTAGAGCAGTCCGACAACTGCTGTAATAGACACTGTGGGTGGAAGAGCTTCCTAACAGCTCCAGACTCTCTGTGGGAGGGTTAATACCATATTTACCTCTCCCTCTCCAGTCCCTCTTCCCTTGTGAAGCCTGCACTGCACTGAGCAGGTGGTAGGAATGAAACAACCACAGACCTACAGTCCTAAAAATAGTGGCACTAACAGGGCACTGATCTATGTTATGGCTCTCAACGATTGCTAACAAGGGTGGAGCTGGACAAGGGTAACTATAGGTGGAAACACAGCAGCGTCTCTGCTGCAAACCAGGCAGGGCAAGGTGAGCAAAGGGCATTTTGCTTTATTGGTGTATGTCACTGCTCCTGGAAGAAAGTCCTCAGCACTTCTCAGGGGCCTAATAATTTGTGGCTGTGTAAGCAGTCAGTGACATTTGTGCTGTGACAACCTTACTTTTGTCCAATTATACCCTTAAAGATATCCTCACTGACAAAAGCCCAGAAAAACTGGAAAGCAGAAATAAGAGAACTGAAAAAAAAGGAAGATGAAGGTAAAGCAAGAGGAGGAGAATATGAAGAAAGGAGAGAAAGAATGGCAGAAGAAGAGGAAAAAATTTCGGGAAAATAAAATAATAAAAAAAAGCACCTCGTTTGGGGTTTGCAGGAGGTGACTCAGCACCTGCAGATCTGAATTCTCCTTCTGAGTTGACTCTGGCTGGCTACGGGCCTTGCGCCTTACTCTATCTGAGTTTCTTACCTTGCAAAGCATCCAAGAGGGCAAATGTACTGGCCAAGCACAGGCTTTAAAAATCTTCCAGTAGCCACAGCAGTTAAATATGACTGAAACCTTAAAAAACACTGTGGGTGGGATGGGAGGAGATGCAGGGAATCGAGGAGCAGAGAAAGGGTGAGGAGCGAAAAAGTGAGAGGAATGGGGAACAAAAGAAAAGATTAAGGAGACCAGCCAGAGGGGGAGAAGGTCTTGGAAATGAGGTTATCTCTTGGTCGGAGTGAATATGTCCTCTTGCAACGGCAGGGGGAAGAGCTGAAGCTCGTCCTGCTGACCTGCTGTGGAGACTGATGCTTGTAGGCTCCCCACTGGTGGCACCTCTGCAATCTGTGTCATGGGGCAGAGAAGCCAAGTAACCATGGAGACCTGTCACAGAGAGGTTTCTAGACAGGAGGAACGCCTGACATAGAAATGCCGTCCATCGTGCCCCTCCGGCCTGTGAACAATCAGGACGGGGAAGAACCGGGCATCATGGTAGGTTGGGGGGCTTTCGTTGACAGCCAGCTGGCTAGAGTAGGAGCAGCACTGCTCATCCTGGCAGCCCCGCTCTGCAATGCTGCTGCTGCGGCTCCTCCAAAGGCCTGTCCTGTGGGAGCCATGAATGCGGCAGAGGGAGAAGCGGCTGGTGTTGAGGGAGAGGCGGGAGTTGCCGCTGCAGCTGTGGAAAGCATGGCGTGAGAAGATGGAGGAGGTGCTGGAGGCATGGTTGCAGCGTTCACAGCCATGGGCTGCCTCGCCGTACCGATGCACTGTGTAGCTGTTGTAGGTCGGGGAGTTGGCCAGGTCCATGAGCATGGCCTCCGAGTAGCTAGGGATCAGCTGCCGGTTGGTGCAGATGTGCCACTCCAGCTCGGTGCTGTCCTGCGTGGTGTCTCGGGGCATGCGGTACCGGTACAAGGGCTCCTCTGCCGTGCTGGGCACTGTATACTCCAGGCCCAGCAGCTTCTCCACATGGTAGTGGACATAAGCAGTCCGATACTCTATGAGTACCCTGAGCGGCCACGAGATCATCAGGATAGCTGCCACCCAGAAAGCATAGTGGGACACATACCACGGGAGGTGATCCGGGTCTCCATAGGCCATCATAAGCTCTTTAAAATCCACATTTTTAAGCTGCATGCCTTCCCTCACCTCCATGTAGTCATCCAGCCCCTCAATCTCTGTGAAGAAGTGAGCTCTCTGAGTCAGATAAGAGTTCTCAGACTCAATATTGGCAAAGCTGAAACACTTGGTGAACCTCAGCTTGGTGGCTGTATGGCTCTCCAAGCCCAGGAGCTCCTTGGAGATGTCCTTGTATCCACAGTGAGAGTAGTCAAATTCAGCTTCAGCCACGTGTGTGTTGACCCTCTCATGGTAGACCTGTGTGGTGGTGTAGGCATCGCCATTGCGGTAGCGGGTCACCTGCCGGGTTCGCCGTACAAAGTGGTAGCTGATGGCCTTCCACCAGATGCATGGAGTGGCTTGCTGCATGCGACTGATGCATTCATAGACACTGTCCACATCTGCCTTGTACTGCAGCTCTCTCTTGACGTGGCAGTGCCAGCACTCCACCAGGTACACCACATACAGCATAGAGAGGAAGGCCAGTGGGATATAGACATAGCCATCTGAGCACGGGCTGTCGTGGTAGATCATGGACTTGCCCTTGAAGGAGCTATCGAAGCTGAGCTTGGTGACTCGGGCCAGCTGACACCAGGCCACTGCACCCAGGCAGCCGTACATGAGGATGGAGAGGAGGAGGCATTTCCAGTGGGATTCTCGGCACATGCAAGCACTCAGGGACTGTTTCACGGGGCGTTGCTTCAATCACACCGCCGTGCAAGGGGAGAGAAAGACAAAGAGAGAACGAGGAACCTGTCAGTCAGGCTGCTTTGCACAACACACACAGTGACTGTTGCCTTCAAGACCGTGTCTGGCTTTGCTCTCAAACTGCCTGACTGGGACACCACCCTACTTAACAGAAATGTGAATATAAACAGAATCACCCTGCCAGGGACAGAGGGCTCTGGACAAAGCTCCTTCCCTGCTTCCTCATAGCTCTGGGGAGGGAAGTTGTTTGTGAGGCAGTGATTCACTGTGCCTGCACCCTAGTCAGATGGGCCTCTCCTCAGGAGGCAAGATAGGTCCCCATCTCCTTCTTCCTGCCTGTGGCCAGCATCATTTACACACCCTGCCATCTTCTGAGGTTGAGAGGGCTTTGCAGCAGGTGAACAGCCAAAAGAGTGGGGCTGTGGACTTGCCCCATTGCTTTGTAAGTGTCTGGTGCCTAGGTGCCCACATGCTGCTGTTGAGGAGGCTTGGGAGCAGCATTCATTGCAGGGCTGCAGCCCCACAGACTGTGCCAGCACAGGAGGACCAGCACTTCATGGAGCTGGAGCTGCTGCCTGACTCAGAGCTGACTCACACCCAGCCCTGAAACCAACCAAATGATCGACACCATTTTCTTGGATGTGAGCCATCGGGAAAATTACTAGATTCAAGCACATTTAGTTGAAAAAATTGTCAAGATTACAGCACGATGCAGCATAGCTTCAGGCTGGTTAGAAAACTATCTCTGACCTATAATACCTGAAAAGATTAAGTGTTGGAGCTGAGGGTGTATGTGTGAATATTTAAAATGTAGCACATCCCTCTCTTTCAAGTTCTAAAAGTCAGGTTGGGAGTGGAGCCAGAGTTCGCACTCCTGTACTTCCACTTTGTCTATTGAGACAGCGTGATTGCAGTCCTTATCCCAGCCCTGGTGCAGTGTATCAGCTGCATTGTCATGCGATGTTCAGCTATACTGAAAAATGCCAAATCAAGCCAGGCAGCTAGCGGAAACGGAGTTGTCTTCCAGCAAAGAGCAGCAGCAGCATGAGTTACATTACTGGCTGGCAGCTGCCCGTCTGTAGAAAGTGCGTGAAGAGAGACACCCTGCTGCCCTAGTAGGTAATGAGGAGGGCTGTCTGCATCCGTTTTGTTACTGCCATCCTCTGCCTCTCCCCTAAGTGAGGAAATGACAGTGAGAAAGCAGATACGCATTGATACTCATGCATCATCATGCCCTCTGCTGAGCCTGATTTCATGCAAAAATAGAAGCACACAGTTATTCCTTCTCCCAAGGGGCCACCTCTAATGCATCAAACTGCTTCGTAGATGCCAACAGATGCTAGGTTCAGGAAATGTCTTCTCTTTCTTTCTCCACGGAGAAATTTCTCCCCTACTAAAGCTTATCTTGGATCTACAGCAGTTAGGATTCAGTAAGTGATCTTGAACCAGCAAGGAATTTAAGTAGCAGCATCTTTGACTCAGGAAATAATAGCATGGCACCACTAGAAAGAAGGGTTTGCTGTCCTCTCAATGAGATGGAAGCACTGGCATCTAACCTTGAAGGGTTGTAGAATCAGATTTAATGCTGCTGCTTTTTTTTTTTTTTCCTGAGACAGAGAACCACTTCTAAGTAACTATACAGGGGTTTAAAACTTGCTATGAACACTGCAAAACTAGATTTGGGGTTTGGTTTTGATTTCATAGCTTTTAATCTGACACTGTGTAAGTGCAGAGTAATTTTATTGATTTTACAGAGCTACATCAATATTCACCTTCAGGAACTTAGGGCAGAATCTGGCCCCTGATTCTTCCTGATGCATCCAGAAGAAATCTGCCAAGAATTTCTATTCTTATTCCAAAACATTTTTATGTATTCACGTGCCAGAATAAAGAATAATTATTCTGGGCTGTATTCTGACTGCTGTATTCTCTTTACAGCAGCTACAAGTGGAGAGAAGCTAAGTGTTTTATAAAGTACAGGCTTCATAACTTCTGTAGGCAGGGCAGTGAAAAGACCTTAGTATGAGTGAGAATAAGGTTGTTTCTTCCTTAGTCGTTTTCAAGGATACTTTGAAGAATTCCACAAAGTGGCTTCAGGTAGTGCCTAAATCAGCTGAAAAATAACTACAGAAGTTTTGGGAATGAATCCTTGAGCCTACATGCAGTTTTGGTGAGTTTCATCTCTTGAAACTCTTGTCAAATGCTCAGTCTCAGTGTGGTTGCTGTTTCAGTGTGGGCTTCTGCCCCAGCTGTACCCTGAACTCCACATAAGAGCATCAGGCTCTCCTGACTCATGGGAAATCCACTTGAAATTACTGGGTTTTTATTATTTGTCTCTTCTTGACATGGAACTAGAGTTTTTAAGTGCTAGAGTAATACAGAAACATGAAGAATTGCAAAGCTCTACCTTTTTTTTTCCCCTGGAGGTTTTCTGAGGTGAAAAAATCCTCTAAACATTAACATTTCTCTACTCCGGGCACTGAGACTATGCAGAAGAAAGCAGCTGGGAAATACTCTAATACATTATTTCGTGTTCACATTCAGGCTTTCAAAGGTACTTCTCATGTAAAATCACTTACGGTTAATAATGTTAAGAATACCAGTGGACCTAGCAAAAAATGCCCAGCAGTGAGTTTTAATGTGAGTGCTTAAGAAGTCCATGCAGCTCCAGGAACCCCATGTTTTTGTATGACTTGTTGGAAGTGCTGTCAACCTGTCCCTGGGCACAGCCATGGGAGAAGGCTGTCCCACGTCAGTTATGGCAATATTTGCCAAAGGCACTGCAATCCCACCTTCCCTTTATCTGGCTTTCCTTGACTAACAACTTCTCTGTGGTCCAACCTACAACCCACAGGTTGGCTTCTGCCCAAGGGGTGATTCAACCAGCCTTGTTGGTTAGGGCAATCAGTGGCTATATCAGAGTGGGCAAATGCCTCCTAATGTGCTTATCTCTGTGAAATGCCATCTCACCTCTGGGGGATGAGATAACTCTGGTTTTACCAGTCCTGGAGCACCATCCAGCTGGGTTGGCAGTAGCTCAGAGGCTTGCAGGTCCAAGGTGATATTTCTGTATGCAACCTCTGGAGGCACTTCAAAAATGGTCTTCAACCCACTGCACTGAAAGGGCTGGATTAGCCCAAGCCAGGTTTTCTCCACTATTTTCATTGCAGCCTGTAGAAAAGGCAGCTTCTCTCGTCTTTGTATTAGTGAAGGCATGCAGCCATAGAACCCACTGCCACATCTGATTCACACACCTACCAGTCCAGTTCAGCAGGGCCTTCACGTTCAAAACCCTTTGGTGAAAACACAATTTTTTTCTCCTGGCTTTTCTAACCCACTGTCTCATTCCCACCATTGTTCCGAAGCAAATCCCACTGTCTGCGGGTCCTCCATTATAAAAGGATCTCTTTCCTAGAGTCTACCTACCAGCTTTCCCGCCTATTGCAAGTTCTGAACATATTCATCTGGCCTATATCCCCTTATTTCTCCTTCCCTTCACTGAAATAATTATCTAACACAATTATACTGTTAGAAACACTACTGGAGTGTTTGTAAGAAAGACATGAAATAGAACATAATTACAATAAAGGTATCAGACATTCAAAAATCTAATAAGGAAATATATCTTTTCATCTCTCTCTGCATAACAAATTCATTAATATATTAAGACAGTGGCTCCCAGACTTTATTAATTAACATACCACCTTCTTGCAAGAATTATGTTTGTGGTACTACGTGGAATTTTCTCCTTTCCATGCATAGTGTTTCAAATCAAAACAGGGCAAGCTTGTATTTCTGGATGAGTAAATAAATGCTTAAGGAAACTAGCAATTTCCATGATAACTTGGGCCAGCCAGTGAGCAGGACTTGAGTCCTTTGAGGAATGTTGTGGAATCTGTGTTGTTTTGATGTGGAATAAAAGCATAACCTCCGGAAAATCTTAATAGAGAAACATAATTGAAGAAGGCAAAGACAGAGAGCCTGACGGAAAGCCAGAGTCAAAGCCAGAATAGATGGAGGCTCAGTCACCAGGCACTTTGTCCATGAACCAGGACTTGCAGATTTGGGTCTCTAACCCAAATCAATAGAAGTATCTTTCCTCTCCTGCTTGTGGGGGCTTTCTTTTGGGCTTTGCTTTCAGCGTTGACCTGAGAAACATGCGGACAGATTAAATGAGACACAGGTTGCTCAGAAAAGTTGTGGATGCCCCATCATTGGAAGTGCTCAAGGCCAGGCTGAACAGGGCTTTGAGCAACCTAGTCTAGTGCAAGACGTCCCTGCCCACAGCAGGGGGGTTGCAACTAGATGGTCTTTGAAGGTCCCTGACAACCCAAACTGTTCTTTGATTCTACAACCACAAATTGTGAAGAGGGATGGATTTGTCAAATCAAATGTTTCACCCAAAAGGTCCCAACCAGCTCTCATGACAGTACAATTTGTAAAAATCTCCTGTTTTGGAAGGAATGCTGTGAAGAAGCATAGCTGAGCTGTCAGTATCGTTGTTTATGAATCAAGTTGTGTTAAAAATAAACACATAACATCCTGCTATGCTCTGGTATGCTGCTGAACCACTTTCAGAGGCCTCCCTTCTCATTGCACCTGACTGGATTGGAAATTCCTAACTCTTACCCAAACTATCCATAATCACATGCTAAAATTCACTTTACTTTTTCACACTTAAAAACAATAACAAAAAAATATTTCCCAGATTGTCTAGTAGATCTCAGCATGAATGGGGAAAATGCCATGAGTAAGAGGTGGCATATGTGGGGAGGTGGCATGTGGGTGTCTGTGCTGTGAGCCTTGTGGAGAGGGACAAGGTTTAGGGATGGCCCTCCCCAGAGCTGTCCCTTGCCCCAGATAGTCAGTCAGCCCCACAGCACTGCTCTGAGTTTGCTTTGGGGTTTTTAGGCCCATCGTTTCCAGAAACCTCAGACAGAGCAAAGGGCCTGTGTACCACACAAAATGAAGTCAACTCCATATCTTCCCATCCTCTGTTTGCTGCCTGGTGGTGTGGAGCATTCTGAGACACTAAATAATAGATGCTATTTAATTTGTTGCCACAGCTGCTGGAAAATAGTCCAGAAAGCCCTAACTGCCAATGGAGAACAGGAATTTCAACTGACACCTGTAGCAGACAGGAGTTTCCAGGCTGGCAACATTTCGATTATTTCTCCTTTAAGAAACCTTGTTTGCAAATGATAAAACATCCAGGCAGTGGCTGAAAGGGCAATTGCCTTCAAAGACGCCCTCTGATGGCAGATGCCCAAGATCAAAAGCAGGTATGCAAGGGCGGACTGGAGCCTCCCTTGCAGGGGCACACCCACCCACTACTCCTCCTGGCTCAACAGCAGCCAGGCCAGGTTCTGGCTGCAGTAACCATAATTAAAATAATTAAAACATGCTCTGTGTTACAGGAGCACGCAGATTTGGGCTATTAATCTTGCCTAGTATAAGGGGTGGAAGGAGAGTGGAGGGGGAGTGCACAGCCTGCCATGTCCCCTGCTTAGCCTCTGGAGCCAAGTGTGCTCTGGTGGCAAGAGCAAAGGGTTAGCGGCCAGGGTTTGGCTCTCTGACCCATCCCTTGACTCCTCGTGAGCGACCAGGTTGAGGATACTGGTAGGTAAGTTGTAGCTGGTGACCATGCTGTATGAGCCTGCAAGTGACTGCATTGGCAGTGGCCAAGAATGAAAAAAAATTAATTTCCTTCAAATTCTGATTTTTCCTTAAAAAGTATATTTGAAATGTAACAATGATGCTAGAGAACCAGAACAACATATTTCTGGGCAAGTGAATTGTGCTTGTGACTCTAGGTCCCCTTTCTCTTGATGGGTACACAAGAACAAATTAATTCCCCAAGGTCCAAGTTGAGGTGGTCTGGGTATCCCCATTCTTCCAAGGGAGCTGCCCCTTAGCAGGAGGAGGAAGTGCCACACTGCCATACTCAGAGAAGCCCAGACTGATTCCACCAGCCCAGGTTTTTGAGTGCCTAACCTGAAAATCTGGTGCCTCTGTTTTACCAGTGTTGGCTCACTGCTTTCGCTGACCTTTGGATACAAGCATGCCCGATAGCAGGACTCACCCACTAGCCACATGGCAGGGATCCTTGTAGTAGAATAAACAGCTAGACAGGGTTTTTAGCATTTATAGGGAGTCATAGAAATTTCTCCTACCAACTTTGAGAGGTTATTCTGGGTCAGGAAAGTTCATCTTATATTACAACCCAAATTACATTTACACCTAAAGACTGGGAGACACTATGCCTTTTTCCCATAGCTCCCACATCTCACAGACAATGCAATTTCACTTTAACATCCTATGTACGGCCCAATAACTAGTGGCTGGTAAAAGCTCATCTTCTTTAAAGACACTCTGCTTTAACCGATAGACTAAAAGAAATGAAGAATCTGCAATCCCCTTTGTCATTTGTTCTGGTGATGCAATTTTATTGCCATTGTAATTTTGTCTCACTTCAGCCCCCATTCATGGCAGTGAGGATGCCCATTCTCCAAGTGATGAAAGGTTTCTTTCATACAATTGCCTTCTTTCTCTGAACATATTTCTCCATTCTAATTATGACATCCCTCGGCCTTCTTTTTGACAATTTAAATGAGCCAAGGTCTTCAAGTCCTTCACTGCTCTAGCTCTTTTTGGTGCTCTGCCCTCTCTTTAGCACCTTGAGATCCTTCTTGAGTCTGTACCCTGCAAGTAAATACAGGAGTTCAGCACTTATTTCACTGGCATCACACCAAAATATAAAATCACCTTCCATTCTCACTGATTCCCCCCCCTTATTACTGTCTGCAAGAGTTGCATTAGTAGATTTCTGCCTAGCAACATCCCAGGAGTTCATGTTCGACGACTCACTCACTTGGCTCCCAGGTATTTTTTGAGTCACTGTTTCTGAGGACAGCTGAAGGGTTGGCTGCACTTTCCACCCTGAAATGTGTAACTTCAGGCTTGGCTTTGGATTGAATAACTAAATTAGCAAATGAAGCAGATCCCTAAGGAGAACTGTGCTTGTCTCATCATTACAGACCTGCCTGCTAATGTTTGTGCCAACTGCAAATGTTACCAGCCGTAATTTTATGCTTAATTCCAGAGGATATATCAAATATGGTAATTATTCATGCAGAACTCTGCCAGTCTAATGGCTAAATATCCCATTAACTTATACAAGACAACTGTTTTCACAAAGCTAAATGTCAATCACAAAAACAAGGCTGTAAGCATTATGTGGTCACTGAGGTGCTCCTCACACTTCCTGTGCTCACTGCCAGGAATAATTCCATGTGCAGTTCTGCATACAATATTAAGAGAAATCCTCCCAAAGCTTCAGTAGAGCACATTATCATCTAGCTTGCTGTTACTGTATGCTCTTCATCAGTATCTGTATTTTACTCCAAAAGTAGCTGTTTACCAGTGTGGGCTTGAAGCACATCTTTTTCTAGCTGCCTCAGAACTGCTTACAGCATGCAAATGGTTACAGTGACAATGGGAAAATTCTTGTTTTGTCCCCTTCTGAATTCAGCAAAATAAATTCGAACTTAAAGTTGCCAAACTGACGCCAATAGAAGGGGAAAAAATAGTCTGTGTCCAAAGGAAACACAGAATCATATTTTTTAAAAATTTGATCTATAATTTTGCCTTATCCTTGCTATTTCTTCATAGCTCTCTACTGACAAAATGACTTTTTCCTCTTCTGACGGCCTTCATTCTTCAGTCTCCTTGAAAACTCCAGCATGAGCTGTATAAGCAGAAAACATGCTGCCACAGCATGAATTTATTCTGTTTGTTTTGTGGACAGTTTGTAGCCTGAGTTTGACTGTCTGTATCTGGTTCACAGACAGATATCCGTGTTCCCCAATTTCAAAAGCATTAAAATTCTTCTTTGGGGAAATCATGCCAAAAGTGTTTCCTGTCCTTTTAAACCCCACGTGCATTTGTCCTTGGTGGCTGACCTCAAGAGCTACAATTTTGCTGAAGCAAAATGCTATCATGTCTAAAATGAAAGAATGAGAAAACAGAGGGTAACAAGGACATGGCCTGAATGGAAATAGAGAAATGAGGGGGAAACATGGAATGTGGGAAGAAGTGGAGGAGGGAAAAGGATAGCCAAGACATGCTCTAATGCCAGTGCTGAGGCAGGGGAAGGGTGCTGGCAGGTGAGGACAGAGACCACTCAGCCTGGGCAGGGGCAGGAGGGAATCAGCCCTAGAAAAAGGACCCTGGTGAAGATCAACGGAGGAAACACTGAGCCTGACAGCACAAAAGCACTGTATGACCCAGCAGTCCTCCCAGCCCATCTATGACCTGGAAAACAGCTACTCCTGAATGACTGCTTTCTTGCTGCTGGGAACTTCTCCAAGAAACAGATCTATGTCCCTATCTCCTCCCCACAGCCTGGGGGTGGGATAAGGCTGTGCTAAATTGGCCCAGAGATTCCAAATTGTCACAGAGGTGACAACATGCTACAGGGCTGATGTTGCAGCTGTGTCTCAGCAAGATGTGTGGCATCACAGCATGCTCCTGCTCTCTGCCAAGACCTGGCTTTGGGGCTACAGGGTGTCTTTAACTGTCTTCAACAACAAAATGACCCCACAACTTGGGATTACTCATGTAAGAAGAGTTAATCTTATATTTTTATTTTTACCTCTTTTACTTAGCAAGAATAATCTTCTTGTCCATGGAGAAAAAAAAGAGTGGGGGAAACACTGACAGAGGACTGGAAGAAAAGAAATAAAACTAGGGAAGAAAGAAGAAAAAATGGTGGATAAATTAACACCAGTCATAATTGAATTTGCCTCTGTGGATTTATGCTTGTGATTAATATATCCCAATGAGATACCCAAAGGGGAAGGAATAATTAATAACCACAAGTCATACACTTTGGTAGATGGTGACCTGCCTGGATGAAAGCAGAATTTTCTTTCTAACTACGAGAGATTCCTTCATCTTGGTCCGACCTCCTGACGGACATGGCAGGACATAACACAGACAGGACCACTAAGTCTTTGCTAGACAAGCCCTAGGCTGTGCTGTTAATCATAACTGAGGTGAGCCCTGACACTATGACCAGCCTCTGGTGCCGAGAAAGGCTTCACCACTTCTGCAGTGGATAGGGATGATGCAAGAAGAACAAGCAGATTTCTATCCACTGTCCCCAGGCAGCCACAACAGCTATCATCTCCCAGCTCCTGAGGTAATCCTGGCGTCTGGGGTGGTCAGGGAGAAGACAACTGCACAAGTGTCATAGTACAACCTCTTAATGCTTTCCAGGGCCAAATGAACTCCTAGGTCAGATCCTTTTTAGTACAGTGAGCCCCTTGCAAGGCTATGCTAAACCAGACATTGGTGTAATAGTGAGTAGAAGTGCTCCTTCACCATGTGACTGAATCTGGGCACTGCATGGAATATCAGTAATAAGGCCTGGTGAGGGAAAAGGGAGATATTACAACTGTAATCTCATCAATCCCCTCCTGGGGAACCTAAACAAAATTCTTCCTGCCATCTATCTTGAACGACAAGAAGCCCATTACCCCTAGCTCATGCTGAGCCAGTAGCAAGTGCTCTCAGCATGGCTGCAAGCACAGGGGGGAAAGGGAAATAAAATGGATAGAAGGCAACAAAAAAAAAGCCATTTTGCATCAAGATAATTTCCCTCCAGCCTTTGAACAGGTAGCACATTCATTGCTGCACGTATATTTTAGATGCATCATTTACTCTTCTGCCACAGAACTCCTGTGAGAATGAAAACTCCTGCAGGCGGGGGGCATGATGTCAATGCATAGCAGAAATGCTGTTACTAGGTTTGAAAATAATAACCTGCATGCACTCCACGTGTTTGTAGTGTCACTGGCTCAGACGTTCACTTTGGCAACTGCCCTCCTGTGGTGAGCAGGGATCACCAGGTTTCTCATTTTAATCCATGCAGAGATTTAATCTCCTCCTTCCATCAGTGGAGCTGTCAGGGAAACACCTCAGGGTAGGAAGGTGTGTCAACTCAAAACTATGAAAAGACACAAATATTGCTGATCCACCTGAGCTTCAGATGCCACCCCTGAAATACCATACAAAGACAGTGTGTTATTTCACAACATTCATCCTTACAAATTCTAGCCACCATCTGAAGATGAGGAAAGAATAGGTCAGGACGGAAGGAGCCTCCAGTCCTCTTAAATGTCAGATTCAGCATTAGCTCTTGCAGGATACTCCTGAGTTCTTCAAGTAGAAATAAAGGAAATCCCAGAAAGTAAAGACATTTGGATCACAGAGAATATATATGGTGTTCATTGCAGCAGGATGGGAAAGCCACTCACTGAAATGCAAGGGTACATATGTGAGTATCATGAAGAATTTGGCCCTAGACACATCCATGGGTGACACTTCCACATGCTGCTCCAAGGAAAGCTGTGCAATTACATTTTCAGTGCCAAGGAATCCTAGCAACAAAGTGGTCACCATTTACAAAATAGAAATTATGGCTATTTTAGTGGTAGCTTCTTACAAGAGCACAAAAATGCTGCACTAACAAAATCATTGCTTCTCCCTCCAGATTGCTGTTGTTGCTGTCACTGGCTTTTGACTCAGTAACAATACAAAGAACGTATTCGGGGGCAGAGGATTTTTCCCAGTAATGCCAGTGCTGGGTATGAGTTCATCAGGAAAGAAAAGCTGGGATTCAGCTGGGATTCAAGCTGTCTCAGAGCAAGAGAGTACCTCTAGGAACAGTTCTTTTTGCTACACTTTAAGTACCCATCATGCTTAGTTCATATTACCTCTGCCTTGAATACTGGTGGTTTCCAGTAGACACAGGATGAATTTTACAGGTATAACAACATGGCTTACCTCAACACATATCAGTTAACTGATAAAAGCATCACATAACCTCAGGAAAGCTCCTGGGATGCAGTTCCCAGCCACTGCCAGATTAATGAGACCAAGTGATTGACATGAGGCATAGCTGTGCCACTCAGTATTTTCCAGCTTGCTTCATGCCTAGCCAGCCACTTGCCCCCTACCACAGCCAGCCCCACTGCACGGAGGTTTCTGGGCAGGTGCCCTTGCCCCTGCTCCCACTCTGGAGGGAGATCCTGAAAGGGCTGATGGCAGCATGCATCCATCCATTTGTCCTGTGGCTGCAGAGTGGAGCAGTCCTCACCTTGGCAGGAACAGTCTTCAGTGTGCTCCAGCCTGTGAAAGCCAGACCCAGCTCCCTGTACCCTTGGACAAGCTGCAGGCAACACAAAGGTGCCACAGCCCCTGGGGATCAGCTAAGTGCAACTTCCTGACTGGTGCACTGGTGTTACCAGTGGCTTTGCTGAGCCAAAGGGAAAACTGACACCAGCCAAAGAAAACAGAAGGGATGGTGGGACTAACTACCACTGCTTCAGCCCAGGAGGGATGGGGACAGCAGGGAGGAGAACGGGGGAGAGTAGCTATCTGCCAGCCTCTGTGTGCTTGACAAAGTCTCAGCTGGATTTCACAGGAATCCTGTAAAACCTGCTTCTCCCTCACTTTACACAGAAGATGCAACTCTCCAGGAGTGGGAGAGGAATGAGCAGGAGGCTGGCAGTGCTCAAGCCAGTGTTCTCCTGTGCTGTGCATGCAATCAGCCTGCAGCATGGGATGTTGGTGCCATAGTTCAGTGGTGTACTAAAGCTTGGCCCTTCCCACTCCCACGTCCCTAGTTGCCAGTGCTCTCCTCATCCTTGAGGACCATGTCCTGTGCCTTACTGTTCTCATCACTGTCACAGGTCTTGGGTGTCCTGCCTGACCTTCCCTCAGCCTCCACATGGGGACTGAGGCCAAGCTAGACAACAGCCACAGACCAGTTTCTCGGGGAAGGGGGGGGGGGAAGCAAAGGGCCAGGAAAGACAGCCTTGTGAGGAAATAGCCAATGGAGTGTTAGTTCTGCACCAGTTATTTCCAGTCTAGTCATTGAATGCTTCTGTTTAGAGACTTTGTAAATTAGAAAAATAGTTAATTATTATGAATACCTTTTAATCTTTGCTTACTCTAAAGGAACACCTTGGGATTTAAATGGAGTATATAGAAACAACTCTCAAGTCCTCAGAAGAAATGTGATCCAGGACTGATCCAAGTTCCAGGCAAGTCTGGGGAAGTCTTTCAAAGGGAACTGTGAATGAGGCTTTGCCCAGAACCACCACATTTTATTTTTATTCTCATTTATTTGAAATGCCATCCTTTTATTCTAGTAAAATCAGAACAACATGGCTCTGTGCTTTGACCTATCAACCTCTAGCCTTCCCATGTGTGACCTTGCAGTTGGAGGCCATCAGCCACACTTCAGCAGAGGAACTGTCAGCCCCACAGCGCTGGGCTGGTGCAACTGAGGCTGTGGCCATGCCAGGTCCCTCGTGCTGCTGAGATGGGCATCCCTTGCAACGAGATCCAGCCACTGCTCAGGCTTCAGCTGCTCCATCAGATGTGGGGAGTATGTTTCCCCATCTCTGCACCTTCCTGAACACAGCTGCTACCTCAGCACTGTCAGGTTTTTATAAGGGTTCTCTGGTTAAGATGAGGCAGTATCCCAGTAGCTAATGTTTCCCTGTGAGAAACAAGGTTTTATCATAAATATTACTTTTCTCTCCCTCTTGCTTCTCTCTGTGACACATTCTGCAATAACATGATGGCACAGAAGGTGAAAACTTAACTGGAAATTCATTTAAGCACTTAATGGTTAATCCTGGGATCCAGAACACCTCATTTTTATTTCTTGACTTGACTTTGACCCATGTCATGGTGCCAGCACACCTTTTTATATCTCCTGAAGACACTGAAAAAATAGCATTTATAAAGTGATTTCACATGAGCATTGCAGCACCACTTGGAAGGAAGGCACCTGATCTACACGTGAGCTGTTGCATCCTGCCACTCTATCAGCTGGTGGGAAGCAGAGGATTTAGGTCCTGCCCTGGCCTGCTGACAGGCAGTCCCCTGCAGAGGACCACGGGACATCTCAGGCCTGAAGACAGACTGCCATTCCCACCCTTTCAGCACATGCTCTCACTACTGCCCTCCTCCACCAGATACCAGCATCTCTGGCTGGCCATCTTACCTCCAGGCAGCCACGAGGGAGTTCTTCTCTTTTCTTTGGTCCTCAGAGGGACAGTCATGCTAGCACAACTCTACTGGCAGATGCTGCCACACCAGCCTCCACAGTGCTCTGTGTTCCCTCTGCCCATTGCAGGGTCAGGGACATGGCACGGCTTGTGCCTGAGGCATTCAGGCTCTTCTAGCTCTTGTCCCCCAGGACACACTGTGCTGGTTTGCAAGAGATACTGAAAGATGCCGATGCCTCGTGCTGAACCACTTTGTTACCACACTAATCGAATGTTGTATTCCACAATTCCGAGTCCAGTTCCTAAGGGCAATCAATCATATGGCTATGAAGAAGGCCTCCAGCCATAAATGCATCACCACAAATCACTTCTCTCCCAAAGCCAAATACGTTTGTGACCTGCAAAAGTCTCTGACTGATCCTACTCTCTTTCCTGGTAAGGTCAGGTTATTCAGACTCCACATTTGCGAGTCGCCTCAATTACTTACTTTTAGCTTCCTTGCCAGGAGTGTGATCCTTTGTGATCTGCTCTTTGCTGTCAGCTCCTACCTTGCTGGTCCCCACTTTCACCAGCTGGCTGTTTCTACCCATCTGCCCAGAGGCCCAGTATTACTAATCTTTCCTTAAGAAGGCCTCTGCTGGCTGAATGCTGAACTGGGATGTGCAACACCTCAGATGTATAGAAACAATGCCATGTCTGAGTTGGGATTCTCTGTACATTCTTCACCTGATGTAAAGCCCTGGAAGTCAAAAGTTTGTGCATTTCATGGGGTGTGAGCCCCTTTATCCTTTCCGAGTTGCATGTGTGGCACCTTGAGAGAGGCTGCCAGCTACACCAGACACCATTTCACAACCTTAACTCCACACCAGGAGGGCTGCCAGCCTCCTGGTGCTGCTGAGCTACTGGCACCATGCACAGCCAGGCTCCTCCATCCTTCCCACTCACCATCTGTCCTGGCCATTTGAGGCACTTTTCTTGCTTGTTTTCATGGCTGCAGAGATGTGCTGTGGGCAGAGCAGGGAGCACTCAGGGACCAGCTGACATGGGTGGCTGTCAGAGGCAGCTTCAACCCCTGACCTGCCTTGTGTGCTGCTGTTGGCAGAAACCTGTCCAGCTCCACTGCAGCAGCATCCCAACTATAACATGGTGTTGGCTCTTCTGTGCAGTGCTGCTTAAATGAAGAGTTAGAGTTTGGGGGAGTTAACAAAGCTGTTCCAGCAACTGTGACCTCAAAAAGTTTCAGTATGTGCTATTTTTAACTTTACAGGTCTTAAGCTCAGAGGAACACGACGAATGATTAGAGTCTGAAAGTGAACTATATTTTCCATGATTAGAACTTAAAAACTAATTAACTACTTAACCATGCTTTTCCAAAAAGTAGAACTCCTACTCTAAGTGGAAACTCAGCCACAGCCTTATCTACAGTGTGACAGTGTAAGTCTCACTATAACAACTGAAGGGCCTTACAGTGCTGAAGATAGCTCAGCAGCCACTGCTTTTGGTGTCAACTCAAACACGTGCCAGGACACACCTAGAAACAAGTCCTACTCATTATGGAACCACTTGAGGATATTTCACTCCTTTTATTCTCTGTTTCACGATGTCCCTGGTCACTGGCAATGATTTGAGCTATTTTCTTCCAAGGCGTGGAAACAGATGAGAGGAAATAAAGTGCTCCATTTCCAGGGAGAAGATACCTCCTACCTCACTTCTTGAAATGACTTACACTGACTGAAAAGTATCTTTGGTATACACACTCTCCTCCTTCAGGGAGATCATCATCTGAGGTCTCTGAAGTGAGAAAGGGAGAACAAGGAGAGTATTTGGGGGTTCAAAAAAGTGTGCAGACCCATTGCTTTTCTGCTGATATAAGGTGACTGTGTGTCCACCTGAAAAAACAGCATTAGGAACCAGGTCTGAAGGGGGAGTACCACTGAGTTACCTGGTCTGTCCCTTTCCCATGAGACAACATCTACATAGTTAACAGCTATTTGACTAAATTGTCCTTATAACCTTCCAGTGGCAGAACTCCACAAGTTCCCCAGTTGCTCCAGCCCAGCGTTT